AGTGAAATTGTTGAGGGGGGAAATAAATAAATAAAAATTATAAATGCATTCATTGCTATAATATTTTGTCATGCAAATGTATTCAATAGATAAAAATCATTCGCCGAAGCGAGTTATTTTGGCAGATGAAATCTCATTCAGGATTATTTTCAATGAAATTTACATTATCTTCTTAACATCACAAAACATTTCCTCCAAGTTGAAAAACGGATTTATATAGATTAATTGGAGGATAAAAGTTATTGCGGCTTAGGCATACGCAGAAATGCTTTTTGAGTGTTTTCTTACCGTTTATTTGTTTATTTATTTCGATCAGGAAATCTTTTAAAATAATGTAGGGATAAGCTGAGTGACGCTGGGAAATGTGAAATTTCAAAAGTAATGTAATTAGCACAAATAAAAGTAGGAAAAACGTTTCTTATTAATGATATTACATGTTTACAGTACGCCATTTACGTTTTCATAACAAAATGCCACTGACTGATCCCTTACTTTAACTCTTTGACGCAGATGAAACATCAGCGTTCCTTTTATATATATATTTTTTTTCTAATTACAAGCAAAAATATATTTTGCTATTTTTTAATTATAAGAAACTAAGATTTTTTTGGTAGGGCACTGGGCTTACGTCCAAGAGGTAATGGGTTCGATCCTCACCGACCGAAGACTCTCCGTGTAGTAAATGGTGACTGATGCAAGTTAAATCTGTCGAGTCGCAAAGTCCTCCACGTTCCCATAACAAATCAATACCTCTGGGGGATCCAGGAATTTCCTTGTCTTCTGGATTGGTTCAAAATTACAAGGCTACGGAGTTGAACATTAGTAGTCGTATACCCATAAATTGGGTCGGCTGTTCAACGACGGATATATATCTAATAGTCTAATATTTGTACTAAAATATAAAATCCAAAAAAAGTAGTTTGAACAATTTATTTTTCATTCATATTCAAAAATTTATTTATAATTTATTTTGCAAATTAAAGAAATTTCCATTATGAATAACTGTTTCTCTTAGATCTAATAACTGAAAATAAGTGCAAATTTGAAAAAAATATTGCTTGAAAGATTTTACATTCAACATGGAAAAATACCCCGGTGATTCATACTGTATTTCAAAATTATAAATTATTAAAACTCTAAACATATTATTTTTCTCTTATTTTGACCTAAATCAATACAAAACAATGAAAAAAATGTGAAAAATATGTTTCATAAAAATTCTGCGTGCGAAGATTAATGATGACAAAAAATCTGTTCCACGCCCAAGCATTCCAGTCTTTCTAAAACAGGCTATTTCAGTCCCTCCCGATGTCATCTTTAATAAACACACAGATTGACTTTATTTTGACAACGTAAACAATCAACATACTTAATCCATGCACTTCCTTCTGTCAGTACTTCAATTTTATCCGATTTTGCCTCTGTCTTCTTTTTTCCTGCAAATTTCATTATTTAAAAGTTTCCCGTCTCTCTGTACGACCCAGTATAATATACATATTTTTAATGTATAAATTGTAGATAATAAGATATATTCTCGTGTTCTCGCACGTTTGTTGCTTCTATTGTTTTAAAAAAGACAAATAGAAAACAGAGAAATGTTATGTATATGCATATGTTTCTATGCATATGTTTTTTTTAATCAAATTTATTTATTATGTTGTTTAAAATATTCTGCATACGGTAAATAATACTTAATACTGATAATTGGAAAGATAGCATTTGGCGCCTCAGAACTAAACGTTACAGACATGCAGATGGACACCTCTTGAAATGCCACACTGGCCTGGGAGACTAAATATCATGTTAAATGTAACGTTGCTCTCGAAGTACTAATATATTAATCAGAGTTAGCTTTTGGGAGTCAAAAACTAGTAAACTCGTAAAAATGACAAGAAGATTTAATGAGTTTTATGGCATCAAGCTTCAAACATTTTCCAAATAATCACTCAATTAGTATTAATTTGTTAAAAATATGAATTTAAGATGTTCGTAGTAAACAAAAATCCCATTTTTGGTTTTTGTTAGCAGGGTAGTTCTGGCAAAACGGTTTTATCTATGTTTAAAACTGTGACATGTCATACAATTGCTAATCCTGATCCTATCATGTGAGTACGTGTTAAGATCAAAGCTCTTTCAAGACGTGTTACATTGAAAAAAAATTACAAATAAATAACGTTATTGTGCAAACGAACAAGTAGTATTAGCATAATAATGTTCTTTTGCAGTTTAAGAACATTTATTTTGAAAACTAATAAATCACTTTCTATTTAACCTTTATTTGTCATATTTTTTTGTTTAAATAATGGAAAGATAACCTTTCAAGGCACACCACCTCTATTACGAACCCTCAGATCATCAATTTCCCTTTCAAATGAAGTCTTTTCTACCATTTTCATTTTCCATAAAACAATAATAATAAATAAATAATAAGCTGCCATAATTCATTTCACTGTAACTGCATTCACTTAACCTTGTCTCTGATGAAGCATCACTTCGATATTTTCTCTCTCCTCCATTCCACTTGGCTGAGGGAAAATAATGGCCATAAAAGAGTTCATAAAAATCTCATCTCTATCTGACTTTTATAAAGAGAAAAGTACCTTAATCATCCTAGCCGCCTAATGAATACCAGTGTGAACAATCGTCCTTGGAGTCATATTAGTCATAGCGGACTGTCATTGCTTATTCAAGTCAGCCATTATGCATGTCCTGCATGCATGACCTATGAGCATGGAACTCCATCATCCATGCTTCAATGGCTACAACTAACCTTTTTGTTTAAGCATTTTGTTGCATAGTTTGATAACCGTTATGGAATCCTTAATTATACGTCGGGGAAGCGTAGAGAATTAAATGCACCTTCACTGCTGTCTTCATTCTATTTTTATTGCAATGATTGAATTTTTTTAGAACTATTAATGCTATGAAAATCCAAAACTAAAATCCTATTAAAAAACAACGGCTCATCTTATTATTATATCTATATTAAGTTTTTATAGTTAAATTTAAAGTATACTTTATAAAGTAATTATGAGAAAGTGAGAAAAAAAAATTTTTCATCAAAACCAGTGCGTTTTTTCTCATACTATGTATTTACATTCATTGTCTCTTTTACTGCTTGGAAATCTTAAGTTGAGCTTTCAGTGAGAACGGAGGCCTATCTTGTGAGTGATAGACAGTACTAGCATCGAACTCTAAAAGACGTTTTCCTGTTACTCCATACCTAAGTGCATCATCATTTTGCAGCCAGACTTTCATAGAATTATCTATATGTTATTTTTAGTATGATTTATCTTACTTATTTAACTCTTCAAAATATCCACAAGTTCTTAATTGGATTTATCTAGGGAATTTTTTAGGAAAATCAAGTATCATTATTTTGATTTTCCAGTATTGCCCATTTTGAAGTTTTGACCAGGTGACGTGTCATGCTATAAGTCCCTCAAACGTCTGCATGCATGGAATAATCCCACGCATTAATTATGTGTTCTCTGTTAAATTCGTTGTACCTAATATCAAGGACTAAGATTACAGCGCCATTTGCTGAGCAAAATATCCCCCAAAAATTGTTTTCAGGCTGTGTGTTTGACAGTTTCACACTTACAGCTTGCTTACTAAAAATTTAAATTAAAAAAAAAGCTTGTCCCAATTAGTTTGCATATGTACATGACACAGTATACAATGATATGACTCGAACTGGTTTATAGCTGATCTTTAAAGATAGAGTGAGTAGTCTAATAATTTTCTCCCTTAATCGTATCATAGAACTTTTTGTATGGTATATGTTCTTTGATTTTGCTCTTTGTTACTAATAATTCATATGTTATCACAAATACAAATGATTTAGAAGAGATTATACATGCATTTAAAATATTATTTTTAACAAAATAATATGGACAATGCTTTACCAGGTATATGGAAGCAGCCCTTCTCTTTGCTGCAAATATTCTGAAAATTTTTACATAGTAAAACTGGTTGCCAATTTTTGAGATCACAATGAAAGCTTTTAGAAATGGTATGACAATTTGTATAGATCAAAATGAGTGGAGGAGAAAGTTAACTTTTTACGTACGACGCTTTATATGCTAAAACTAGTTATCCGTTTGTTGCACCATTCAGAAGAAAAAGGTTGAAAGCTTCTTTCCTTTTTAATACCAGAAATTTTAAGCAAGTTCATCGTAAAGTAAGTACACTAACTGGGTGCATTGTTGAAAGTTCAACCCTATTCTAAAAAATAATGTAATGTTACAGTAAGCAACTTATTTTTCTTAATTTTTAGCGAACTAAATCATTGGGCGGATAATTAAAAACTGGAAAGGGAAAGGAAAAGTTTTTAGTTAATAATATTTTATTTATTTTAACATCTACATAATACAAAGTACGGCTTATGGATAAGAACAGATAGCACAAGTTAAGGAAGAATATCATATCGATACATTCAGTGTTGCAGTGGGATTCGAACCCAATACCTCAACACTGCAAAGCATTTGGTAAAACGGCGAAACTACTTGGTTTTTGAAGCCCTAATAAAAAGAATTATTTTATTGATACCCAGTTTTTGATGTTATTAAAAATAATATTTTTATATTTATAGTGTTAAGAAGGGAAGAAGCTTCTAACTTTTTCTGCTCATTTTGATTTATACAAATTTTGCAAGTGCAAAAATGGTGCCATTTCTAATAGATATATATTTATCGACATTTTGCATCAGCAGAACAAATCGCACCATTTCAAAAGAATATATATTCTTAAGGTGGTAAATTATAGCTTACCAACATGAGGCACTGCATGTGCAATTTCTTAAGGCAATAAATAAATAAAATTTGAAACGAACAAATAAACGAATGAGATTTGTTAAAGCAATAGAACCCTATAAAACTTTCGCAGAAAAAAGTATGAAACTTTTAGATTTAGATGAGTATAATGTGTTATGTTCAATAATGTATGACATTGCACCTTCCTGAGCTATTAATTATAAAACTAAAACTGTACTTTTGCAGGTGCCAACTATAGTAACAATGAGGTCATATATGACTGACCACCGAACACCTTTGGCTTGGCGACATCGTGATATGACATTGCCAAATGGACCGAGAAATGGTCATCATCACCACCATCATCACAGATCACCTCCCAGTCCGTCTGTGACTACAACTTCATCTGATGAGAGAGAAGAAGTTCCAATGGTCAGAGGGCCACCACTAAGAAGACCAAACAGCCGGACAACAGCCCGGTATCATAGGGATGGCCAATCACAATTTTCAGCTGTAGAACCTTACCCTGGTGTTGTTGGGCCGCCTTTCAGAAATGGCGGAACTCTTAGGTAAATTAATTAAAATGAGTAACTGAAATAATAAATCAAGAAATTAGTAGTTTATAAACAATATGGAATTACATATTTATTTTGTTTATAGTGACGCTTTTGAAATGTGTTTCTATAAACATAAAGTCAACAATATGTGATATAGAAGAAAAAAACTTACATTATGTGCTAAGTGTCAGTTAATGTGATCGCTTGTTTGTGATAAATCGTTACTATCAAGTATTGTATGCTATCAATTCTATCATTTACGGTTTCCAATTTTTAATGTCTTTAAAACTGGGCAATTATAATTAATTAATATGTCTCTTGATGATGTAAACTTCTGAAAACGTGTTAAGACTAATTTAACAATGTAAAGTCACTGATAAATGTAACAAATAATTTTAAAAAAAAAAACAGAATTATTTAAATTTTATATTCTTTATGACGTCGTTTTATCCTTTTTAGTTTAATGCATGATTGCGTAGTGTTAATTAACACCGATTCATTCATAATTTACTAATTTTTTAACCTGTACAAAATACGAGTTTGCAGCTAGCAAAGAATCAATTTTTTGTTTTGCTCATTTATGTGTTTATTTAAAAATCCAGTGCTTTGGATTGACTATTGTAATATGTCTTGAATTATTTGATTCAGTTGATTGATTGTAATATATCCTGAATTGACTGCAATTTTACTACTTTCATTATAGGTCAACCAGAAGTGTACCAGCTATTGCATTAGCAACATGGGATGGTGAGCCATGCCCGGTCCATGGCCATGGACTACCACTATTCCATCACCAGCACCATCCCATAGGGCACAGCAATAGCGGCACCATGAGGCGACACGGTTCCCTGTTCGACGTTCGATTGCCATATTATGGTCATCACCCTCCACCTTTCCCACCAGCTCTGCAATATCCACCACCTCCGCCATCACACCTAGAAAAGAAATCATTCCATGGATCGATGCAAGTGTTTCCTAATCCGTACCTAATGCCACCGATGATGCGGCCGAGACCGTTCGTGATCCCTGCAGGGGCGGAACCACTACCTGTTAGGGATCCTTTCAAATTAAGAACTCCGCCCGCATCAGGATACGCGGGATCAAAAGCAGACGATGTCTACAGTGTAGATCAAATATGTTGCAAGGGACATTTGATTGTGCTATGGATTATCCTAGCTGTGGTCACTATTGGTGTTATATTAGGAATTGTATTGGGAGTGACTATTGCATAGCGGGAAAAAAGAGCTTAAATCTCTGTATTAATTTTTCACTGGAAAGTATCAAAATCAAACTCACAGAATTTAAAACTTTTCAACTTAGATACAGCAAGGTAGTTGAACTTATCTAAGCGAAAAAAATATACATGGTGTTTTGTTTTTAACATTTGTACAGGATGTTCCCAAACTTGATTCACAAATTCAGCAGGGTTATAAAAGGCCTCAAGAGGATGAAAACTTACCATAGAATATGGGCAAACAACGAGAGAAACCCATGCAGGTTTCGACATCACGCTGGAAAACAACTTCCAAAATTCTATAATTTTGCTAAAAGATTTATTTGGTCAATTATTATAAGAGTTGTTCAAAGTGACTCCCTATGACGTCCTTGAATTGTCTATAATGATGCAAAAACGATTCCTGAATGTGCTCGAAGATGCTTTTGACAGATCTTTCTCTAGATTCAAAACCTGCATTTTTTTTTTCGGTTCTTACCCTCGCAATGGGGTTTGCGACCCCATATTCTAGAGTAAGTTTTCATCCTCTTGATGTTTTTTATCATCCCTCTGAATTTTTCATACGAATTTCAGAACACGCTGTATTTTTGTTAGATTTCTTTTCAAAACTAAAGTCAAGCTATGAGCATTAAATGTCGAAAATTAATATCTTAGTGAGAAAATGTTAAAAACATTATCAAATATAACATATCACTATTGAGAAATCCAGGAATAAAAGCATGAAATCAGTAGTTTGATTGCTGCATGAAATTTGTTTTTCTAGAAATCGCATCTCAAATCTACTATTTCCTTCCACAGTCAAACAGGTATTAATGCTTTTAATGCTGTCTTCTTTAGTAGTGATTTCTTAGATTTCAATAACGTTTTGTTTTCCCCTTTTCTCCTCCTTTTTCCCTTTCCTTTTCCCCTTATATTGTTTTAATGATAAATGATGGCCCTTAAAGTTCTACGTTTAACAAGGCTTCCAAAAATATGTATATAAATAACGGTGTTAATTACTAATTTTCTTGTATTTATCATCACCATCATTGTAATTTTAATCTATTACGCAAATTCCATGTCAAGTGGACTAAATAATTTTGATACAGAATTCAGAGTTTTGTTCGGTCTTTAAGAAAATCAAAAAGTTTTATAAAAATCAAAAATATTCTAAGCATTTTGGTATTCACAACAATAAAGTCTTGTTTCTTTGTCAAGTGGACTAAATTATTTTGATAACAAAATCGTACGCTACATTTTACATCAAATTGTGTATGTTTCAGGTATGTAAAACTATTAGGTTTTCTCACCTGCTCCCTTCGCTTGCCAAACCTTACAATTGCTACAGTTTCTCTCTCTCTTTCTCTTTCTGGACGATAAACAGATTGTTACATTTAAATTAAAATTCCGATGAAAATATCCCAAAATGTTTTTTTTTTCTTTCCTAGTTCCCAGTTTTATTGGGATAAAATATGAACTTAATCCTTTGCTCGATTATCATTACAACTTTATCTACAATTTTACTTTCAAATACCTATTCAATTTTTGATTATATTCCATATAATTAATTTATATATATAATTAAAAATGGTATAAACCAATAGTATATATATATATATTCTTTTATTACTAATGAGTAGTATTTTGACTGAATACTTCTTAACTTTGAATTAGCAATTTGCTTAAAGAAACAAAAATTATAATGAAGCAATCGTGGGAGTTGGTGAGCGAATCAAGTAGAGGGCGAGTCTCATAGTTTTAATACTTAATGAGAGCTTATTAGTATGCTTGATTTGATACTTTCCAACACAGAGCACAGGCCTGTAAGCCAAGCCATACAGACTTAACAAATTTCAATATCTATTTAAGAAGAAAAAACTTCACCTATGGGAATTAACAGCTCAACTAGATTTTTTTTGATTTAATCAGAAATAACGGCTCAATTAACTGATAAAATGATGGATTCATGGCCAGAAAGTCCTGTTAGTGACTGAAAAAATATTGCATTCGGTGCCAGACAATCTTATTCGTGACTGATAAAATACTGGATATATTCTTGAATTACATCCTATTATTGACGTTATAAGATGTATTTAGTTTATGCATGTTTTCCAAAGCTACAATGGAAACAACTTGTACTAGAAACTGAAACTAATTTATACAAGTGTATTTTACACATCTAAGTTAAAAACAATACACCATATCGGTGTAATATTGTATGGTGTTGTATATTACTGTTCATTATAACAAATACATTATGAACTTAGTTTATTAATTATCAAGAGTTATGATAGTATGTATTTATTTGAGAGAAATGTCTTGTTATGGACTGAAATTGTAATAATTTTACACTTTATAAATTTTATGTAAAAAATGTTTTTTAGAAGTTTTATTTTTATGTTTTTATAATGCCTTGTGGTCTTTAAAAAGCAAGAAAATTTTAAAAGGCCAAATGATTGAATGAGTTCAGTGCCATTTTTTATGTATGATAGTTCTACTTAAAATTGAAATACTCTAAGAACTATAGGAGAAGTAGATATGTATAGAACTAAATTTAAATGCATAATAATTATGCATTTTTTTCCTTATAGTTTTTAGCATTTTTTTTTCTTCTTTAAAATTATGATAAAATTTTAGTTAGTAATGGATTAAATTACAAGATGCAGTGAAAGGTAAATTTATAATGGCGATGTTTGAATATTAACTATTATTAATAAAATACTCTGTTCCTACTTTAAAATATTCCATAGTGAAATTCATGTAACTGTAACTGAAATTCGTGTTTTATTGGTTAATTGGAAAAAATGCATACTGATATAATTAATCATGGCGATAGACTTTTATGCTTTTAACAGAATATGTTAGGCAACTAATTTGTTTATTTTTTTACAAATTTGAGAATTTCCGTTGTCATTTAAAAATTTCACGACTTCATTATCTTTCATAACCTCATATATCATGTTAATACAATTTATTCCAATATATAATATTTTAATTCAGCACTAGTGTAATCTGTTTAGTTTAAAGATGTACAAACTTTCATGGAACAGGATCGATGTAGAAAATAAATTTGATTTTCTGTGGGCCGTAATGAAGTACAATTTTATAGCTATGAAATTTTAGATTTACAAAAAACTAAATAAATAAATAAAAATCCAAACAGTTTTCTAGAGCTAATAAAATGAGAAAGGAATTCATAATAGTGTTTTTTTTTATAATTTCGCCATCATTAAATGTTTATCAAGTCTTTTATATATTATTCACTTATTTCTTTTCAGATGTTGTTAAAATGATTACAAAATAAAATTTATTAAACCAAGAATCATTTATGAAAGCTTTAATTTTGATACCACTTTAGTACAAAAATACAGGAAAATTGTTAGCTATTAATTTGTTAACATCAATTGATAATACACAAAAACTAAAATAACATAAAGTAATTTACAAAGTATGTATAATAATTAAGAAATGAAAAAATAGATTTTTTTAAAGTAAAGTTACACTGTAGCAAGTTTATAACTGTTAGTATTTTTTTATTTTAATTTAATCAAATTTTTTCATTTTTAATTTATTATTAAATTATTAACCAAAAAATGTTTGGAGCGTACTTGAATTTTTGAAGAAAAAAAATAACTGCCTGCTTTTTTTTTTCTTTATATGTATATAATTTTTCCCTTAGTGCTTGTATTATAATAAGCATCTCGCTACATAAACTCAATAAAAGAAAATTATTCAAATAATCAAGTTTTCAATTTGTGTTCGAATGAGCATTGCCCATACTTGAATTATTCGAGAGCTGTATTTGATCTCAGAACTTTAGGCTTGACAGTGTAGTTACGTAAAAATAAAAATAAATTTTTTCACCAATATGATACAATGCCAAAACAGAAAAATAATATTTCAATTCTTAGTTTATTCTGCTCAGTAAACTATTATTAAAATAATAATTTGAAAATGAAAAAAAAATTTACAATGAAAGGAAAGAAATTTTACAATTTAAATGCTGAAATAAGTAAAATCTCATTGAACTTTTCGTTTCTTATATTTAAAACTTTAATTGAATGCTTCCGAAAATATGCATATAAATGACTATGTTAATTACAAATTTTCTTGTAATTACCACCATCATTGTAATTTGAATCAATTACGTTAATTCCATGTCAAGTGGACTAAATAATTTTAATAACAGAATTCAGAGCTTTGTTCGGTCTTTAAAAAAAATCAAAAAGTTTTACAAAAATTAAGAAGATTCTATGCATTTTTGGTATTCACAACAATATTTAAATAAGTCTTCTTTCTTTGTTGTTTCCTTCTTGTGTCTGTTTTTTTATATTCAGTTTTATAATAAAAGGTAATCTTTGAAGATTTGCCTTCAATTGGAAATGCTACATTATTATTTTTTTTTACTCCGTAAGAATGCTGACTGTCTGTAAGATGTGAATGATCTTAAAGTTTAAATGCACGAAATTTACACTGACGTTTGTAAGTATATGTCTTCCTGTTGTCTATAAATCATTTTTAATAAATATTTTTCAAAAATCAATTTCGTAGTTTCATTGTTATAATGTTTCATTATACATTCACAAAGATTTGCATTAGAAAAGAAAAAAAATTGCATTTGAAGGTGAAGGGGGCAGTTTATGCCCATTTTTCCACCAAAGTGGCAATCGGACAGCCACTTATTGCATTTGGAGAATTACTACGCTTTGACAAAACAATAAAGAGGAAAATTGGTTCTTCCCAAGAGTTATTACACAATGAAGATGGGATATGTTGAAGAAAAACGGTTTCTTTCCGCGCACTCCCTTAATTTTTTCCCCAGAAACACCTTTCATGGACATACCGTTCTTTTCCCTTTATCTTTAAGTAAGAAAAAAGAGAATTGCATAAACAAGGTGAATAATAAGAGATAATAGAAACCGACAACAAAACAACTGGTCGGCTTGCACAAGTTTCACGGTAGTATTTTTCTCACTTCATTTATATTTCAAATTAACTTATAATATGCGATATGTCGTCGACAAGTTATTTTGTCCATAGGATCTATTCCTAGACGAGGTCCTTTCGTACACGTAGTCATGCGTAATTCTAATACTATTTTTAAGATTTGTTAAATTACACGTTTTGTCCCTTGCACGAAATTTTTAAAGTATGTTGTAGTTGCCAGAAAAGAAGCATTTTCCTTCAAATTGAAAATTTTCTACACTTTTTGCTTCACATCACGAGTAAAAGACGAAACCTTTCTTTACATTCGGTGTTCTGATAGTATTTAACATATATTTATTTCTAAGATTAATTGTCAAACTTTTGAAGGACATTATTATAGATTGGCATCGCAAAAGCAATTGCAATAACTGCTATGAATGATTCTTAATATAGCAAGTGAATGAAAGGAGAAAATAAGAAAAAAAAAGACAATGAATTAATGCATCAGTGGAATGTTTCGTCAATTTCGTTAACAGGCCATTTTACAGAAAAAAATTAACTGTTGAAAAAAGAATAAATAATTTACATCAAGCCCTTAGTTAAAATAGTTTTTTTCACATACAATAGATTTTTTTCTCATATGCAAGTAATCAATCATTTTCTTACGATTAGCATATTGACAAAATTTTCTTGCATAAAATTTCAATTATCATATGTTCCATAACCAAAATTCTTTTTTTTTTTTTTTTAAATATTGTTTTTTAAAGGAGGGGAACTAAGAAGAATGAAAGGCTATTGCGAGGATTGGTGAGCGTAGTGATCAGGGGGTGGGAATTCCTAGTAAGAGAGTACATATTTTTTAAAGGATAGCTCCGATAAGTCCTTTTCAAAACTGTAACCCGAAGTTAAAATGTTTTATAAGTATACTAAAAATGAAAAATAAGTGTTAATTTTCGTCATTAAAATGAAAAAAGTGAATATTTAAATTGTAATAGAAGTTTATTGTGAAATTTTGCCCTAGCATTTTTTATTTTTTTTCTATGTGTGTCAAATTTTTTTATCATTTATTTTCTCGTTTTTAGTCTATTGTACTAAAAAAACGTGTTTTTCTTTTTTTAAATGCATATAAATTAAATTTTTTATTTTAATATTTTCTGCATTTTAGCCTTGTGTCTCCCGGCTTGTTTAGACCGAATTATAGTCAAAATTTCGACTAACGATAAATTCTGCTTATAAGGGTCAGAAAGAGTTTGAATATTGTATTATCAGTATCACCCAGTACAGAGGACCAGTTAAATTCTGAGCACTTGAACTTGTCAAAATTATGATTGCAAGATTTTTCTTTTCTTTTTTGTAAAATAATATTTACTTATTTCTACGTTTGAATTCCAGACTTGATTTTCTGTTAAGTAACATGCGTCAAATAGCATGCGTTAAGAACTCTGATAGTGGAAACAGAAATAAGATTATGTTAGATTATTTAATAAATTTCTGACCACCACTATGAGTTATTCTGTAAGGAAAAAAAAATTTGAGAATAGTGCCCAACCAGATTTCTTAAAGCGTTAAAATAAAAAAAAAAAAGAAATTCGAGCTAAATTCCCAGCTTTTGATATTGTCGTTTCCACAGTAGCTCCACACATATGTGTACACATTTGCCTAGTGTAATTTTTAGTTAGCTCAAACTCATTATTGGTAAACAACAAATCCAATTATGTGAGATCGCCGATTGTTAAAGACGATAAATTAAAAGTCTAAAATTGCAATTAAAGTGAAAATTAAGAAGTTATTTTTCCACAATAAGACCCTTGTCCTTTTTAAGAGAATTTTCGATTAACGAAATGACCCTATCGACGAAAGGACCTTGTCAACGAAATGACCTGTCTACGAAATCACCCTATCGATTAAATTGTCTGTTGATGAAATGACTTAGTCGATAAAATGGTCTATCGATGAAGTGATGTCAGTGAAATGAACCAGACACCTCTTGACAATGGTTTGGGAAACATCCCAGTGAAACTTTTCGCTTAGGATGCATTTTTTCGAATGCGAAGAAAAAAAATTGCATCCAGTGTAAATTTCACTTGAGAATGATCCAAAAGCATACCATCACAATTTTGATCCTCTGCAAAAGGGACGGTCAAACACTTTACATGGCCAATCACCCATTTAATCATCATGATTCACGCACTTAATCATCAAGGACAGAATGAGAACCTGATTGGAGAAAATTATTTTCCCGCAAAAATTTCATCAATCAGATTTTCGAATTATTCCTACGGCGATCTATAATATCGCATTCATTAAAATCGGCACTTTCGGTGATCTACTGGGAACAGTGTCCCATAATCGGTTCACAGTGAAAGTCATTTCCTTTTCAAAACTGAGAACTAAAAACTTCAAAGCAACCCGAAAGTTTAAAAATTTAGCAATTTGTGCGAAGAGGTAAACTAACTTAGATTTCATTTGATGTGTGGCATGGCGCGGGTGCAGATTCTTCAAATGAGAGACTGTACTATATACATTAAAATGCTCAAGTAGTTGATATAAAATGTTTTTGCCTACAGTTTTTTATTTTATTTTTTAAAACTAGAAAATATTCATTCCTCGTGTTTTATTCAGAAGAGATTTTAGGCCATCTCAGGCTCAGCGTTTTATTTAATAAAAAGCATTTCTGAAGTGGCAACAAAAATTTGACAGCTTGACAACAACAAAATTTCTAGAATGTTATTGCGTAGTTCCTGCTTGAGTTAGAAAGTTTCTCATAGGAACTTTGATCCCTAGCCTTCTGTACCAGTGCGTGCAAAGGCATTTTTTATCTGATTTTTCTTTATCAGCAATCAATATCACAAATTCTATCTTTTTCTTGTGAGAATTTGCAACCTATACACCTAAAAATGAAGTTTCTGTGTGCATTTATAATTTTGCTGACTTTTAATGTTGTCCTTTCTGGCAGCTTTGGTAAGATAGCTTTAGGCATCATTATATCTTTTGACAGGCCTCTATGTTCCTTTAATTTGTATTTAATGCTTATTTGTAGGTAGAATTGTGAACAGAAGTCGGCTATCAATGCTGTTTTATCATAGCAGGGGGAAAAAACTTTCGTACATTGTTTAAATTTTATGAAAAAATAGTTTTTAAATTTTAATTATGTTTTAGAAGTTAAGCAATTAGTTGTAAACTAGTTTCGTTAAAATGATCTTTTGGGAATGTTTTATCTAATCTATATATTAATTAATATGTTAAAATCCATTTTTGTTTAATTAAGTGATATTTTTATTTAATAAAGAAGGGGGAAAATATGATAAAAAAAGACAGGATAAGCACTTTTGAGAATATTTTAGTTTATAAATTAATTACATTTTCTAAGTAATAGTTTAAGTCTGATGAGAAATTTAGTGGATTTATTAAAATTAGAAAAGTAGCTAAAAAATCTGGCATTTTTTCAGCACTTTAAACATGTGTTAGGTAATGCTTTTACTAAACTGCATAACAGCTGAAATGCCATCTGCAATATTAACATGCAGTTCATATAAACTTTCTTTTATGTTATGCAATCTTTAAATGGGGATTATTTTGAGATATTTCTTTTGTAAACTCCAAATCATTTTCTTTTTTTTATTTATATATAATTGTTTAATATTGGTTAGAGCTTAACTATAACGATTTTCATGCTTGTTTCAAAAATTCTTTACCATGTTTAATGTATGCACTGTTCAGATCAAGGTGATATTTCCATATCATGGTCTGCTGCACCTACTATAATCACGAAGGTACCAATTTGATTTAAAACTGGAAATATTTATGAAAAAAAAAACATGTAGAGGTTTGCCTGGGAGTGGCTATAAGTTACTCTTCGAGTTAGTCCCTCTGTAATGTTTATTTTTTAAGTTTTTTTCGCAGAATGCTGCCCAGAAGTTGCTGAAACTTGGGGATTGTTTTGCCACAGATCACGATACAGAAATTTTCCTCACATCAAAAGTTCAACGATAACATGACTAAGTCACTGTAGTATTTTATTAAAATGTTGTAGCCTAGATATTGTGCTATTCTGTAAACACAAAAAGTTTTAGGGGATATTTTTATATGGTGATCTGTTGCCCCAACTAAAACCACAAAGGCACCAAATGATTTTTAAATTTCTGAATTTTTTAAACTAAAAACATGTACAGGTTTGGTTGGGGGTGGCTTCAAGTTATACCCTTTGAGTTGGTACTCTTCTGAAGCTTCTCTTTTTTAGTTTCTCGCGAGCCACTGTTCTGAAGCTGCCCAGACTTAGCAATTATCCTGCTGCTGATCACGATATGGAAATCTTCTCGTCATATTTCGATTAAAACTTTCCTCAACAAATTTAACAGAAACTTTTAGAAAATAAATCAGATTCTTACTGATTAACAAATCTATGATTTCTTTAAAAAAAAAATTTAAACACTGATTATTTTACTAATGAAACTGCACAATTTTCTATTGATTGTAAAAGATAATCATTATTTGTTTAATTTTTTAAAATTAGTAGACATCTATATATTAGCATGTATCTATAGATCATTAATGACGTCGTTATTAAAGACAAAGCAATGTTTTATATATTTTTAATGATAATATTTTGAATTTGATTCATGTGTGATAAAAAATTTTATTTATTATCTTTATGCTTCTAATTTCATCGAATTTTTATTCTAGATAATGAACCTCCAAAACCTCATAAGGATAAATATGTTCTCCATAAAAGTTGTGAAGCAGCTATTCACAAACAGATAGATGAAGAAATGCATGCTAGTTTGGCTTATGCTACCATGGTAACTAAAGTTAAAATTAAATTTCAAATATTTCATAATATTTTTTGACAATATATACTACTGATATTTCATTTCAATTAACAAAATATAATTTTGTACAAGCATAATTAAACTTGTATTGCGATACAAGAAAAAATATTGCTTGTTAACATCTTTAAATTTTTTTTTAAAAAATGAGAAAAACAAGAATCTTAATTAGACAAGACTTAATTAGACTAAACAAGAATCAAAATCTTAATTTTCTTTTGAAACTTATTCTAAATACAAAATTTTCTTGAAAAAATGTATTTATAATACTATTTAAATTTATTGTATTTTTAGTAAAGAAAAAAAATCACAGGTGAGTTTAAATAACTGAATTAATAGAATTTTTTAATTTCTGTAAAAGGATAAGGTTTAAAATTGATTCATTGAGTTGAGTAATTCTCTCTGGCATCTTGAACTATTTTTTCTTGTTTAGTGTTATTTTATGTCAACTATGTATATCTTCATTAATTTTTAGAGTGTTTTTTTTTACAGGCTGCTCACTTTGGGAACAATAAAGTTGCACGAAAAGGTTTAGAAAAATTTTTCAATGAAAATTCCATGGAAGAACGTGAACATGCACAAAAATTTATTGATTACTTACTTTCTCGAGGGGCAAGATTTTCAGGATTTGATGTTAAAGTAAGTTAAAATAAGATATTTTAACTTTTTCTATAAAAAATTTATAGTTTATAATTTTAATAAATATTTTAAATGCAGCTCTGCCAAAGTTCTCTGTATTTTATTTTTATTTTGAAACAATTAAATTTAAAAAAAATTCAAACCTAAAATGGATCATATCTAGTGTTCATGCCAGTATGGCGTCATTTATCTCCAAATATTCTACAAGTATCACTAAAATCATATGTACGACTGACAAATTTGTCACCTTGAAATATATCTGGAATTTACCAAATACTAAAATGTAAGAAAAAATATATAAATTTATCATGTCGAAAAATATTATATAGTTATTATATATATTGTATATTGCTATTTTAATATAGTATATTATTATTAAATTCTATGCTAATGCACTAATTTTATTGTTGTATGCGTGTTGAGGAATTAAAATGGAATAACTGAAAGTGACTGGTACAAAATATTTTTAATGTTGAATTTCAAATTTACTAGTTGTGCTGTGCTTTGAATTCATGTGTTGTTTCTCACATTTGTTTACCATATTAAGTTTTTGGACCACTAAATTAATACCTAGGTGGTCTTATTAGACCACTAAATTTTCATTGCTGGTGTCATGAACCCTTATCATATCATGATTGATTTTATATCATAACTATTTTATGTTAAGAAAATTCTTTTACAATTATCAATTTTTTCGTTATTTATAAATTTGGTTTGTTAAATCATTAAGTTTTTAACCCATACTTTGCCACGTTTAATAAAAATTAATATTTTTTGAAAAAAATTCTATCACATACTGATGAAACACCAAGTAAAACATAATATAGAAAAAACTGACCAAAACTTTAATGGTTTAATATTTGCAAGCTGTCCTATATGTAGAACGATGATCCAATCCACTACTAAATGTGTTGTGATCAAGCCTATCAGTTTACATAAAATGGTAGAAAATATTCGACGCTAAGTCCTAAATTATATTTTTGGCACACAGTTTTAGGTTCTTTTGTACAGTTTTTGTAAGCTGGCAACGGTGTTTTTTTTTTTCTTTTTCCCATTGGGATTTCTTATTAATATATGATCAGTTTGTAATTTCAAGTAGTATGGGTTTCTTTGTTGAATGCCTAAACCTCTTCCTGCAATATTCCGAGGTAAAATACTATAATGTGTCAATGAAATTCGAAGAGTTCTAGAGTTTGTTCAAGCACAAAAAGTTTGGAAAGTTTCCATACTGCAACCAATGATGTCTCAAATGTATTTATGAATAATGGCCAATACCATTTTTTCCTTGTAGAGAATTTCATTTCTCATTTCATTCTGCAATTTCTTTTCTTGAGTCAAACTTTCGGTCGGATGTTCCACGATCTATCTTCCTCAACATTTTAGGGAATTTTTTCCCATTCTATTTTCTCTAACAATTCCTGTAGCAAAGAAGGTTTTACGGAGGGTAACGAAGAGATCATAAGATGTGAAAAAGTTATCCATTTAAATTTTGTGCTTTTCTGGAGTTTCACCGATTGATAGCAAATACTCAACAACTATTTGAGATAATGACATTTTTTCTTTCTTTATGCTAGACTCAATATCTTGGTTTGCTCCTTGATATGGTATTATATGAAAAGAATATCCTTTGAAAGATGCGAGCATCTAGAGCTTGTATCCAAATTTTGCGGGTTTCCCTTTTATATACATTTTGCAGCCATGTTTTCCAATATAAAGAACCGTTCTTTCATCAATATTCAAATATTCTCAAAACACTAAATTGTTGTGTAATTTCATTCAACAGTTCATAAATTGGATGAACTTTATAATAGCAATATGATGAAACAATAGCAGTGTTGTCATTGAAGTGTTAATACTTGTTATCAAAGTACCTTTTTCTCGACATTGCTTGACTAACGAGCATTTTTCCAACATTAAGAGCATTTTCCCAGCTCATTTTTTTCTCTAGAATAAATGTGATAACCGCTAAAGAACATAATTCCCTAAATTTGCTTAAATTTTTCAGTTTTTAGGTGAAATTATTTACCCATAACCTGTTTGAATTGCCAAAGTAAAGTGAGGGGAGTTGAGTTGCCATGATTAAAAACACCTTCAAATTTAATTTAGCAATCAAACCAGTTTTGATGTTTTCAATCTTTGTCAGCTGTAATTCTTTAGGAAATTATTTATTNAACGTTGTTTTTTATCTCTACAAACCGGACACTACTTTTTCTAAATAAATTGTAAGCTAAAAAAATGCAACTTTTCACCATTTTCAAAGCATGCAAATAAAACTTTTTGCCTTATCCATAACTAAAAATATTGTTAAGCTTTCCCACCGAAAAATCAATCTTTCTCCTGTCACCTTGCCTTATCTTTGTAAAGAAAGGAGAGAAAATGGTACTGCACTCCTGAAATAATTCTGACATCGGCATTTTTTGATCTTTTCATCTGGACCACACAGGTTATGAGACCCCTCAAGTTGAAATGACTTCTCTCAATGCTTCTTCCCCATTGAAAATTTCATCAATTTTCTTATCAATTTGAAGACTGTATTTAACACAACTGGGGTAAAAAACAGAGAACAGAAGTATAATCTTTAAGGTGTTTATATAAATGAAACATTTATTCAGACACTTGATAGCTGATCAATTGCGAATAATCATCTCCATAGGTCCTCATGACTCACAGGTATGCATTACTTTTTTTTCTGTGAATCATGGGAGATTTATTTTCCAAGAAGGTATTAACCATGTTCCCTATCAAATGATAAGTAGGTGTAAGGGGATGTGAACCTAATAATTGAAACGGACTGAGGACAGTACGCTCCTATTTGGTATCATATGTCTAACTTGAGTATCTATGCTAATAGGAAAATTATATTTATTTATCTGTAGCTACATCCAGAATTATGTATTTATATCAAACTTCTTTATATATTCTTTTTTTATCATTCTTATTGTTTAAATAAATATTCTTGTAGATATTTACAATATCTTTGTAGATATTATTTAATTATTTCTACATCTTTGAGAATATTCTAAAATCAATTTACGGTGTTAAATTTCGTTATTAGGGTACCCTTCCCGTAAACGGACAACTCTCATAAACGGACAAATTTTATGGTCCCATGAATGTCCGCTTAACGGAGGTTTCACTGTATATATATATATTGAGGTATGATATTTTATTGAGGAAGATGTATTTTGGCATTTTCTTTTTTGCAATTTCTGTAAAATTTTAAAGTCATTAATTTTAGGTTAGTATTTTATTGATATTTTAAAAAAAGTTTTTATTTAGTCAGTATTTAATATTTATAATAAAGCTATACTTTATACACATTTTTGTTTTTTAGCTGATGGATTTTATTGAGGGAGAATTTCTTGATGAGCAGGTTAAATCAATTTCTCAATTGCAAAGATTCATCACCATTTTGAATGGAATGGACACTCCTATGGGAGAATTTTTGTTTGATCAGCAACTTCAGGAAGGAAAAAGCAAAATGTAAAATTCTATCAACATAATTACATTGAATTGCCATATATCTACTATCCACTACGTTAGATGCCAATTTTTTTAATATTTATTTTGCATTTTGTTGTTTTAGTATTAGTTCATATTTTATACTTGATGAACAAATTTTGCTTTCATTGTGCAGCTTATCATTTATGTCATCCCTTTTTAAATATTAAATAGGTCTGATATTCGTTTACTACTTAATTGTAATGATGCTGTTTACATTAGTATTGTGTCTAATAATTTTCTCAACTATATTTGTACATGTTCAAACCACTTAATGCATTTGTTAATATTTTTTTTTATATTTGAAGACCAAATATTGAGTTGATCAGTTTTGAAATTCGATAAATTTTGTATTGTTTTATTAAATTAGGTTTTTTGTAGCTTTTAAATTTTGAATCTCAAACTTTACAATTATATTTTATCTTGCATAACTATCAGATCAATCAATAAAATATGGGATCTTCAGTTCTCTGTGTGTTTAAATTATTTTCTGAGTGCTATTAATTATTATTATTTATTTATTTTTTAATTTTTTTTTTTTTAACAAGTTAAAATTTGCTTTTTGTGAGGGGGGAACTAGTAGAGATGTGGCTTAAGAAACGTCATATTTTATTTAAAAGGGAAAATCTGTAGAGCCTGTCCATAACATTTTATATTTTTTTTAAGAAATTCTATAATTGTTCGTAAATTTTTTATTGATAGTTTATAACCTGTGTAAAAAGCTAATTTTAACATTTCTTGTGTAAATATTATATTTGCCTAAAATGTTTAGCCAGAGGAAGCAGATAAACTGAAAGCAAATACAATTGTGACATTCAATGTTTCTATATTTGCTATTTGAATCTTACTTTTTCAGTACTTCAATCTCTACGCTGATGACATTCTTGTTGTTCCAAAAATGGAAATGATTTAAAAAATTAAAGAGAGAAATTTTTTTATTCTTTTCTTATGAAACTTATTTTTACCAAGTTATAAAATTAGTTCATTAAGGTGTGATACTCATTAAATATATGTATATATATATATGTGTGTGTGTGTTTAAAAAAATGTTCAGATGTCTATCAAACCATTCAAGCTAAAATATTTGCACTATTGTTTGTTAATTTAATTGTTCTGCCATGTTCCTGCTACAAATGGTGGTTGTTAAGATCACTTAAAAATTATCTTTTAGCCATAAATGCCATTTGTTAATAAGCTTTATAACTAATAATGAAACTTGGCAAGAATTAAACCAGTAGTTAAACATCAAACTGTTCTCTTACATCTTCTACTGCTTTTCTTTGATCGGTTTTTCATGTCATTGGCCATTTCTGGAACAACTGCTAATATTAGTAATTTGCAGCTTTTCAGCAGAGTCATTTGTTTTTTTTGTTTGTTTGTTTTTTTTTTTTTTTTTTGCTAACTTTAGTGTTACAAAAATAATGATGTATCTTTTACCATAAGTATTGCAGAGTTTATTTGTTATTTAAATATTTATTTTTATTCATGCAAATTTAACGAAGGATACTAAAATTTTAACAAAGGAACTCATTTTTGCAAGTTGGCATTTTGCATTGAAATTATCACTTTTAACACCTTTACACTGCGAAAAACATCTCATTTTGAGTGTAACTATTATCTGTACATGAAACTGTTGCTTAGTATTGCTTACAGAATTTTCGGTATTTCCATTTGATAACAGCACTATGCAAAGTACTACCTTATTGTACGTATCTAAAAAATTACAATGTATTGACAAAATATGGTTTGGAATTATGTTATATTTTCCTAAAATAGTCGGAAAAGTAATTTTATTTCTTGCATTAAGTGCCAATTTATGCACTTTTATAAAATTCAACTTGATTGTGAGTTTTCTTATCTCTCATGCTATAAGTACTTACTATAAGTATTGAGGTATAGGTTTTGAGCTTAAATTTTTTTTTTTAGTAAATTGAAAAAAATTCAAACAGAAAAAACCTAGAGCAGATGAAATGAACAAATTCTATTTTCATTTATAAAAATATGGAATAGTTTTACCTTTTCTTAAATTCGATACCAACAAATGATGCTCAATGTTTATTTTTTTGGTTGTTTTATTTATCTGTAAAATACCTGTGAGGGTATCATAATAAATTTCATTTCAAGAAACTTTAAATACAATAGGCACAAATCGGTGCACAATAAATTACAATTATGTTTATTTTTACTTTTAAAATGTAGATATTTTATTTTATTATCTAAACATTCATCCTTTCTTTCTGATTTCTTTATTGGGCTTAGTCAAGACTGAAATAGTTCCGTAACTTAACTGTTAAGTTCAGCCTTTGTATAAGCATCTGTCTTTTCTCCGTTAGAGAAAAGCTGAACTATAATTGCATAAAATTCAAATTAAATTTAAACAACATAAAGTTTTTATGTTTAACTTTTTATTTAATCATTACATTTAAAAATTTTATTTATTTTAATTAAATTTAAATTTATTATTTAATCATTTTAATTTAATAATTACAAATTGTGCTAAATATATGTTAAATTAAGCTTACTTTTTACTATTGTGTAATCTCTGCCTGACTGAGTTAAAGTGGCTGACAAATTTTAAGATAGTATTGCATATTGACTATAAATTCTGCTACCGAGATTGAAATAATTATTAAGTATTGATTTAGATTGAACTTTATTTATTGGTCATCAGACCACTACTTAAACTGATTCTTATAAAGTAAATGATTCGTATTTATTACAGCTATTATAAAAAGACTGTCAATTTTATGTGAAAATATAATAACAAAATGCTTCATTTAGAAATCTCGTTTTAATTATCTGTTTCCAGTTCTTCATTACGAAGAGAATGTTTTAGTTTCTGTGTCAGAAATCTGTTCCAAGCATGGCGGAGGAATATCGCTCCCTTTTTGATGAACTGTTTTCTGGCCTTTTCCAGTTCACCGCTCGTTTCTTGTTCTAAAGGTGGACCGATTATTGTTGTTTCTTGCTTCTCTAGTTTTTCTTTCCTAAGAAAATGGTTTTAATGGATTAACTGAAGAATGTCCCAAAACTTCTCTGACAAATTCAGGGGGAGGGGATAAAAATTTGTTATGTGGTCAGTCCAAGCCCGGGACTAACCAATGCCTCCTAGAAGAGAGAACAGGGGTCTGTCTAGACATTTTATGAAAGGTCCTGTTTTTGTTAAAATTGTGAAAAAACTACTCATAATTTGTGAATATAAAATAAGCGTTAAGTCACATTCTTTCAACCAGGGCCCTGCTTTTGTGAATTTGTGCAAAGAGGGTCCTGTTATTGCAAAAATTGCTAAAAACTTTTTCAAGAAGTTTTAAATTGTAAAAAGATACAAGATTCTGCTCAACAATTGCTGCTACTAAATTATGGATGCAACATGCAAATATTTGGTATTTAGCCTATACTGCTCAACACAGAATATTCATTTCAGACGAATAATGGAAACAAAATCACTCATATTTTTAATAATTTCAATTGACATATTTTAAATATTACAACTTAGTTATGTATCAGTTACAATGTACAACTTAGTTATGTAGCTACCATATTTACAAAACAATTATCATTTAATATCAATAAGAATGTACACACAATGTTTGTAAATATAGAAATATTTTTTTTAGAATACTACCTTTGGAATTTAAACTTAGGGATACTTGAAAAGCTTAGTTCGTTTCGAACCGTCTTTCTACCCCCCCCCCCCCNTCTCCCCCCCCCCCCCAGGAAGGGTTTATTCGATTAGCAAAACAATAATGAAGGTAAACAAATTTGTGAAGGGTCCAATTAAAAGATAAATTATTTTGTAAAGGATCCGATTTATGAAAAGATATTTTGTGAAAGGTCCGTTAACGGACCCAAATTTCTTCAAAGCAGACCCCTGGTTTAATCCTTTAGTAGTTCAAACGTAATTACATTTTTTGTAATCACCCCAACTGCACAGCTTAGTAGCCCGAACGTAGTGACAACTTTCTTATTTTACCTCCACTGTGCACTTCATTTAATGTTCGTTAGGTCGGACTACTAAATTGATCCGTGATGAGACCTTCTCTCTCTTAGAAGTTGTAGGCCCAACTGGGGCTTGCTTACTGAAAAAAGGTTTCGGGAAAGCTCGGATTCGTGATAAAATTTTCATAAACTTTTAAACAAATGTTTAGTCTCGTTATTAAGTATAAAAAATTTATAAGGTATAAAAATTTCTGCAAGAACCTTTTGTTGGAATCTTTTGCTTTTTGAGGAATTGTGCATGGATTGTCAAATGACTAATTTAACCTAGTACGTATTTTGATTTCCTTTTTTAATTTTTGTTTTAGTCATCTTGCAGTTTCAGTTGGTTCAGTTTTTCTCTTCGCTTTTGCTTTCACAGGTTGGTGATAGAAAAGGTTTTAATTTACTGATTTCCTTGTTTAAACATAAAAGTGACGAGATCGCACAATTTGGTCTTTATCCAGCGAATATCTGAGACTCGGGCTATGTATCACGAGCTTAGATTAAAATTCTTCTCGGGCTCGGACATTCCAAAAACTAACGTAAACACGATTCCTAAACGTTTTCGACGATGTTGAGATATTTTAAAAGTCTGTCTTAGCAAGGACAATCTGCCCTATGAGCCTGCGTGCGTTTTTCGTGATTTTCACCTTCTCAACAACTGGTTCGCAACTCCATGTAGTTTGGTAAGTTTCATCTTTCTTAACTTTCTTTGTCACCCTTCTAAAAATGACGATCGAATTTCGGAGCACTCTGTATACACAGATTCTACTACTAATAACTCAACTTATATAAGACATTTATCTTTGTAGAACGATAATTTGATTAATGTATTCGTGCAAATGCTTAAAATTAAAAAAAAATTTTATCTGGCAAGTCCACAATGTGTTATAAAACAGATAAAGGAAAGAATCACGTGAAATTACTGATTAATAAGGAAGAATTACTTGTTAACTGTTTGGTGATTTGGAGTCGTCTTAAGAACAGAGATAATTCCTTTACTTAGAACATTCTTCCCATTCACATATTCAGTCTTAATGCGTACTGGTGCTTGTGCGTTGATTTTTATTTTGATTCTCGGAGTTTTCTTTCCTTGTTTTCTTGATCTAAATTTGAAATAAATCACATTAATTTGTTTTGTTTTTTTTTGTTTTTTTATCATTGTAAAGTTAATGTTGTTTCTAATGCCAATTAACCAGTAAGTTTGCTTGGTGAAAAGAATTAAAGGCAGAGGGTGCGTTTCTTGTTTTTCAGTGGTGCCATCTATTGCCAAGAATAGGTCTTAAGCCACACATCACAACCTGTTCTAAAGAGCGGACCCGTTCATACATCCACAAATCGTAATTTTAACCTGAACCAGAGACCGATAAATCTCCAATTCAGTACCCTCAGAGGTATAAATTTGTTATGGGAGCTTGGAGGACTTTGTGACCCGACAAATTTCCATTTACTACACTGGGAGACTTCGACTGTCGGGGATCAAACTCACGACCTTTTGGACATAGGCCCAACGTCTTACCAACCAGACTATCTCGGCCACGTATTGTGAAGTTTACATTCATTACCAAAACCATCAAAAAACAAATCATCACTATTGAAAATGAAAATTATTCTAATAAATCGTTTATAAATTGAAAAACTTTGCCTAAAATTTCTTAGAGAGGGAAATGCGTGAAAAATATTTTGTGTGACTATCATTTTTAAAGGGCTTTTGAAAAGGAGCATTTGGTTTAAAAAAAGTTGCTGAATTCAAATTTATATGACAAAAAATAAGAATATATATTTAAGAAGAGTATTTTTATGATATACCCTACAACATTTTAGTTTTGTGCGCAATATATTTATCAGTGATAGAGAACTGAAGTCGAAAATTATAAAACGCACATATATTTGTACAAAAGTTCAGAGCATAGATATATCCCGATATATCTAATATCTACAGAAATCATTTGTATGTAGTGATGGAAAAAATTATAATTTATTGAAAATTGGATTACCTTTGCTACCATTAAAAAATATTTTCTAAAAAAAACATTAACATTATTATTGACGCAAATGACAATTAATTATGGTAATAGCTACTTATTGAAGTAATAAGCTATATACTAAATGGAATATACTGCATGAGAAATAATAAGCTATATACTAAACGGCAAAACTAATGGGGAAATGTTATTGATTTATTTAAGAGAGCGTAAACTATTACTGACGTCAATGATGCTTAATTAATTTTGGTAATAGGTACAATCGACCCAATTTTGAGTTTACGACTACCAATGCTCAACTATGTAGCCTTGTAATTTTGAACCCAACCCAGAAGACAAAGGATTTCCAGGTTCAAGCATTGGGAGAAATTTGCCGTCGTGGAGACTTTTCGCTGGAACTAGCCCGCATTGGTGTTTCATGGAGAGGAAAATCGTGAAAACCTCCCACGGTTAGCTTGACGGCAAGGGGACTGTAACCCATGATCTGCCTACCACTGAGAATATTTTACGTCAACACTGTGGTCGGTACGAACCGGGTGCGGAATTCGTATGAAATAAAAAGGAATGGAGAAACTACTTATTCGTTACGGGAAATCGTAAAGAGTCACCATATTATTGTTGACACCGACCATGCTTAATTTTGGTAACAGGCACTACTATCATCATTGTATTTGGTGCAGATCGATACATAGTAATTTATGAGTAAAATTGATGCCGATTACAGCTGCGTGTATACTGCACATTTTTGTGATAGATTTTTTACATCTCCTTGTACGGGAGAAAGCGTGATTGCCGTAAATTTTGAATATCGTGCCTCCAGCATCAGCGTTATGCCAGGTGATACTAAATTCAGTTAACCTTTACTTTGATGGAATGTACTGCTAAATACGTGTTTGGCTTAATCTAATTACTTAAAGCCTCCGAAAAAGACAACAAATAAAAATAAATAAATGAAAACATGTAATTTAACTTTATCTTAACTTCAATTATTTTTACATTATATGAAATAAAAAGTGACATTATATGAAAATTTACATTATATTAAATAATATCGTTATTTGTTTTTAAGTTTTGTGCTGGATATTGTAGTGTTATTCAGTGCTGATTAATTAATGATTATATATGTATGTATATTAGAATTGTTAATGAATTGATAATTATTTAGCACAATTGTATGTTTATCAATTAGTTAAGATTTTTTTTTGTAATTTTTTAGTAAGGCAAGCGGACATGTTGAGTGAGTGAGTTATTAATAAAACAAACCTATCGAGTGATTTTATTGAGTAAAGTAACGTTTAGAAAACGCTAGATTTTCCTAATTTAAATTCGTATTATGAACTCTATGTATAGAATGTTAATTTTTCTGATAAGTCTTTTAAAATGATGTTCCCGTTCATTTTTTTAAAAAAAAAAACTGTTTCTCTTAAATTTACTGAAAAAAAATCTTTAAAAAGTGATTAAAATCGTCTGAAACAAATTGGGGTTCCGGTTCTTTTCGGTTAACCGGGCGCAAGCGATAAGTCACCAAAAAATGTAGACTCTGCTAACTTTTTTTTAAACCATTTTTTTAATTTTTAGACACTGAACAAAGATCCGTGGTGACTCAGATAGAGCGTACGCCTCCCAATGAGATAATCCAGGTTTGAATCCCAGCTGTGGCTGGTTTGTACGAATTCTGCTCCTAGCTATCACAGACCACAGCGGTGACGTAAAATATCTTCAGTGATAGACGGATCATGGGTTGGAATCCCCTTGTCGTCGGGCTGACCATGGAAGCGATCGTGGTTTTTCTCTCCACATAACGTAAATGCGGTTTAGCTCCATGAAGTAGTCCTCTAGACTAGTTTTTCCATGTATTTTGGGTCGGCTGTTCAACGCTGGTTATAAAATAAAATAAAACACTGGATAAAATGGATGTTCACTACAAAAATTTAATAAAATAAAAATAATAAAAAGTTAAATTTCTTTGCATCCTTCTAGCTGAAAAGTACCGAGGTACCTAGTAAAAAAGCAAAAATGCATTCCAAACTATTTATTATATGATGTTTGTGGTAATTTTGCTCCCAGATTTTTTTCTACACAAGCTTAAAAATGGTTGGTCTATGTTGGTAAAGTTTTTAGTTTTTTATTTCTCATTAAGTTAATTATCACAAATGTGCATAGCTTTTTTTTTTTCTATGACTTCCTTTCCTACTAGGATTCTAAAGTTATATATATTAAGAGTAATCATTATGAATATGATATGGCTTAATATATCATAATGATATGGCGTGATATATCATTATGATATGGCATGAATATGGTAACAAATAGATTAAAAAAACATTTTATTTACGTGAGAAGGGCTTTCTTCAACTTCACTAATTGCTCTCCAGTTTCACGATTGTACTTCAGAAGATTGTCCACGATGGTTTGAACATCATTTAAAACTTCAGTGCTTGCAATAGATTCACGAGATTCAGTAGTGGACATCGTAAGGGAATGCTGCGACGAGTGATGCAAAGTTTTTGCTTCTGAAGGAAAGGCCTTTTTTTGCAAAATCATGAATAATTCTGCCCAACTCAGGGTAACAGATGAAGAGCTCTCGGATGTGGTAGTATCTTCCGTCACATAGTTGTTTTCTTCATAACTTGCTGTGGGAAGCCCGATGAATTCATCCGCAGCGACGGTCATAGTTTCTGTAGGTATAATTTCTTCTTCTGAATTCGGAAATATGTCTTCTTCACTTTCGGAAGGAACTGTGAGATAAATATCTCCAAGTTTTGGTTCTTCTCTGATGTCCCAAGATGAATCTAGCTTGTTAGCCGCACATTTCACGAAAATTTGCATAACTCCAAGCACAAGAATATAAATGCAGAGAAATTTCAAAGAAGAGGCTATCATAAAAGGTCTGGAATAGAAAAAAGTATATTTGTTCTTTTTTTAGACCCAATAGAAAAAGTAGTTGTAGTAGTACTATGTTTACATCGAACTAGAGCTGTTCGATTGGCTATTTCATAACCATCGTTGAACAGCCGACCCAATATTGGGTTTACGACTACCAATGTTCAACTCCGTAGCCTTGTAATTTTGAACCCAAACCAGAAGACAAGGAAGCTCCTGGATCAAATATTGGGAGAAATTTTCCTGTGTGGAGGACTTTTTGATGGAACTAACCCGCATTTGCGTTACATGGAGAGGAAAACCGCGAAAACCTCCCACTGTTAGCCTGACGCAAAAATACTCTAACCCATGATCCGTCTATCACTGCGGATATTTTACTTCAGCACTGTTGACGGTGCACTGGGTGCGAATTCGTATCCACCAGTCATTGCTGGGATTCGAGCCCGGTTCACCACATTGGAAGGCGAATGCTTTATACCCTGAGCCTACACGACTCTCAATAGGGTATTTTGTTTCATAACCGTCGTTGAAAAGCCAACTCAATTGTGGGTTTACGACAACTAATGTTCAATTCCGTAACCTTGTAATTTCGAACCCAATCCAGAAGACAAGGGAACTCCTATATCTAGTATTTATAGAAATTTGCCTTCGTGGAGGACTTTTTGATGGAACTAACCCGCATTCGTGTTACATTTAAAGGAAGACCACGAAAACCCCCCATGGTTAGCCTGACGGCAAGGGTACTCTAACGCATGACCCGTCTACGACTGAGGATATTTTTACGTCAGCACAGTGGTCGGTGTTCTCAATAAGCTATTAGTGATTGTTCCTGAGACATGCCATCACAATTTTGAACCTCTGCAGAAAGAATGGGTCCCCCACTTTGGTAGCCCGACGACTGTAAAATCAAGTACTTTACGATGGAACAGTTTAACGAGGATCGATACCGCACACCCTCAGTTCTTTCACAGAGAGATAATGTGGTCGCTCACTGACCTGAATGGAATAAATAGAAGTGTAATAATGCTGCTTTTTCGATGAATCACGGCACTAAGTATACGTGTTAAGTATTTGGAAACCCATGCATATTGACAGAGGTGGAATTATAGTAAGTGATTCTCTTGAAATGCACTAGGATCGTAAATAATTTTTATTAACAGTATAAAAGCAATTGAAACTTCTGATACTAACGATCTAATGTTCCAATAAAAATTAAAAGTGCTCCAACTAGTTGAAATTTCTATTGATGCTAAATACTCTTTGGTGATAACATCGCTATAAAATCTGTTTATTGTGTTCAGAAAACGAATGAAACTTGCATTGCCATTGGTTGTACAGAGCGCTATTGTGGATTTGAATGCTCTAGCGCAGGGGTTCCCAACTTACATGAAGTCGGGAGCCACAATTAAAAACACAAATCAAATGGCGGGCCGCAACTTCATCAAAATTTTATGTAGGTCTCTTTTATGTTTGAAGGAACATTAAATGTTACTGTCAGGTTTTTACCACGTTATACAGAACAAAAGTATTGAATTACAAATTAAAATAAGAAGTAGATTTTTAAAAATATTTAATTGCATATTAAAAAATTCGGGTTACAATAACTTTAATGTACACCCATGTATTAAACAATTAATGCGCAACAGATATCTAATTGTTGAGATATAAAACTTTAAAAAGGTTGATATTAAAACTTACATAGTAGCACACATAATGTTTAATGACAAAATTGAGGTTTGTCTGCTGCAACCACCAGAGAATAGATATTTAAATTTAAAATTTACAAATGTGTGTGTAAATATTTTCGTCCAAAAGGAGTGGTTTCAAAAAGTTAAAACAGAGTATTTCTTCGAGAAAATTTCTGATTCACGCATGCTAAATTATATTCACAAAATACAAAAAATGAAATAAAAAAGAGCAACATACACGATTATTTTTGTATTTGAATAAATATTTTATTGGGTGCAAAACCTGAGAAATAATTTTTTTCTACACCGTTGTTTGATAGATTCACAGAAACGAAGAAATTAGGTTTTTATTAACGAGAAAAGTATTTTAAACCCATATAAATTTTTTACGAAGATAGTTCGCAAAAAAATGACAACTAATATATTTTAGTTCGCGAGCCACAAAAAAAGGCTTCACTGGCCGGATGCGGCCCCCGGGATGCGAGTTGGAAACCACTGCTCTAGCGAATCCGAAGATAGTTAAAAGTTCGATTGCTCGGTTCTAACCACACAGACATGAAATCGAATAATCGAATCGCAGTTAAAAACTGCCCACTATGCATTTTTCAAATCGTTCACAAAAATAAACTGGTCACTAACGGGTTCTGAAATTTCAAAATAAGTTTTTTCTTATTAATTTTTTTAATCTAGTATTTTAACTAGTTAAGAGTTTTTTTGTTTCCAGTGTTTTAAGTCAACCTGAGTAAAACTTCAGGAGAGATGTAATGCATCGATCAAAGGACTATAAGTTAAAACTATTTACTCTTTGCTTATAATATTTAATTTTTTTTTCATTCAGATCCTAACTTATTTCAAAAGGGAATAAATTATCTGAATCATACTTTTTTTTATCTTTTGCTCGCATACAACTCTCAAATATTGCTCTTTTGTGGACTTGCAATTGGTTAAAGGAATACTAGTCGCCGACAGCCCATCGGTGTAGATCTATGGAGACCATAACAATCAAACTAATTAATTTTGGGAAACCAATCTAACTATAAACTTTATACACCGAAGAGCCATTACATTATGACAACCCTCTATCTATTACAATGGGCTCACCCAGGTTTTCATGGTTTCTCACCCAGGAACAATGTTTTCATGGGGCGCATTAGGACCCATAATCCTCATAGAATAGTCCCTGACGTCTGTAAACTACTTGAACATAGTTGCAGACCAGGTTCACTCATTCATGGCAACAGTTTTTCCTGCAGGGGTTGGTGCTTACCATCAGGATAATGCACCATGTCATAAGGGTCGAATCGTCATGGATTGGTTCGAGGAACATTCCAGTAAGCTTCTTGCTTTACCAGAAATTATANCATATTAAAAAATTCGGGTTACAATAACTTTAATGTACACCCATGTATTAAACAATTAATGCGCAACAGATATCTAATTGTTGAGATATAAAACTTTAAAAAGGTTGATATTAAAACTTACATAGTAGCACACATAATGTTTAATGACAAAATTGAGGTTTGTCTGCTGCAACCACCAGAGAATAGGAATTTAAATTTAAAATTTACAAATGTGTGTGTAAATATTTTCGTCCAAAAGGAGTGGTTTCAAAAAGTTAAAACAGAGTATTTCTTCGAGAAAATTTCTGATTCACGCATGCTAAATTATATTCACAAAATACAAAAAATGAAATAAAAAAGAGCAACATACACGATTATTTTTGTATTTGAATAAATATTTTATTGGGTGCAAAACCTGAGAAATAATTTTTTTCTACACCGTTGTTTGATAGATTCACAGAAACGAAGAAATTAGGTTTTTATTAACGAGAAAAGTATTTTAAACCCATATAAATTTTTTACGAAGATAGTTCGCAAAAAAATGACAACTAATATATTTTAGTTCGCGAGCCACAAAAAAAGGCTTCACTGGCCGGATGCGGCCCCCGGGATGCGAGTTGGAAACCACTGCTCTAGCGAATCAGAAGGTAGTTAAAAGTTCGATTGCTCGGTTCTAACCACACAGACATGAAATCGAATAATCGAATCGCAGTTAAAAACTGCCCACTATGCATTTTTCAAATCGTTCACAAAAATAAACTGGTCACTAACGGGTTCTGAAATTTCAAAATAAGTTTTTTCTTATTAATTTTTTTAATCTAGTATTTTAACTAGTTAAGAGTTTTTTTGTTTCCAGTGTTTTAAGTCAACCTGAGTAAAACTTCAGGAGAGATGTAATGCATCGATCAAAGGACTATAAGTAAAAACTATTTACTCTTTGCTTATAATATTTATTTATTTAATTTTTTTTTATTCAGATCCTAACTTATTTCATAAGGCAATAAATTATCTGAATCATACTTTTTTTTATCTTTTGTTCGCATACAACTCTCAAATATTGCCCTTTTGTGGACTTTCAATTAATTAAAGGAATACTAGTCGCCGACAGCGCATCGGTGTAGATCTATTGAGACCATAACAATAAAACTAATTAATTTTGGGAAACTAATGTAACTATAAGCTTTATACACCGAAGAGCCATTACATTATGACCACCCTCCATCAATAACAATGGGCTCACCCAGGTTTTCATGGTTTCTCACCCATGAACAATGTTTTCATGGGGCACATTAGGACCAATAATCCTCATAGAACAATCCCTGACGTCTGTAAGCTACTTGAACATAGTTGCAAACCAGGTTCACTCATTCATGGCAACAGTTTTTCCTGCGGGGAATGGTGTTTACCAACAGGATAATGCACCACGTCATAAAGGTCGAATCGTCATGGATTGGTTCGAGGAACATTCCAGTGACTTTCAAGTCATGTCTTGGCCCCCAAATTCACCTGACCTTAATCCAATAGAGCATTTGTGGTCCTACTTGGTAAACCAAATTCGTGCTGCCACGCTACCTCCTCACAATGTGAGGGAATTGCAGGACCAGTTGGTGAGTGCTTGGTACCAGATACCTCAAACTACCTATCAGCACTTTGTGGAATCAATGCCACGGCGGATGCTAGTAGTTTTGAGGGCTAAAGGTGGTCCTACATGTTATTAGCAGGGTGGTCATAATGTGATGGCTCTTCGTTGTATATTAGGCAAAATACTCTTTAAAGCAATGCAACTTTGATCAAATTTTACGAGTCTCAGTTTAGCGAAATCTGTTATTTAAATAATTTATTTATTCCAGTTAGATATTTTTTGTTCTTATCTAACATTGTGATATCTCAGTCAAAATGAACGGAGAATATTGTTCTTTTCGCGTATGGCTCGTCACGCGTTTAAAAAAAATGGATACAGCTCAAAAAGCGCGTTATTGAAGAAAATAAAAACTACTTGGTACGCACATGTGAAAAGATGGACACTACTCAAATGAACATAGTTTGAAATGTTGTTTTATAAAATGGCCATAGCTCAAAATGTGTATTTAAGGAAATAGACTGTCTGAAAAGCGCTTTTTAAAAAAAATTGTATCCGCTTTGAATGATCCTTAATCTATTTTTTAAACGTTAAACATTCAACCTATATTCATATTTTAAAACGGGCATTTTGTTTAGAGGTATATTCATTTCAACTAACATGCATATCAAGCTATGTCTATATTCTTTAATACGCAATTTGAGGTATTTCTCAAAATAAAAAGTTCACCGATAATAATCTTACTTCAGTACAACTTTTTTAAAAGTGTGCTAAATATATTTGCTAAAATCAATTAATCTAATCTTAATTGAACCTCCTCTTGTTGAAGTTAATCATATATTCGATATTTCATTATATTTTATACTAAAATAAATAACTTATTTTAAATTAACTTGAACCTACTTTGAAGTTTACTGTTTCCGCTTAAAAAATCTACCAGCATTTTATTGTATCCTAATAAATGGTGTTTGCTTTGAGGTTGTTTTTATCAAAAATTCCAAGATTATGTTAGATCTTTTTGTTTGAATAAACGTAACTAAGTGCTTAACAATAGGAAGAATTCTCTCATAATTGTTAAAATGTCAAAATGTTGTTAAATCTGGAGAATTCCCCACCTTTCAGATTTGCAACAATGTCAACATTGGAAACAAAGCATTTGTATTAATTTTATTTTATAGAACTCATTGTTTAAAACCCAATTTACTTTTTTAGAATTAATAAAAAGCCGCGCCCTTTGTGTTTTTCATGCTTGTTTCTAAACATTAGCAAATTATGTACTCATTGTCTCCCACTGATTTCATTTATTTTGAAAAACACTATCATTACAGAGATGAGAGGTTGAAGCTAAAAATAATAAAATAGATTAAAAAATTTTAAAAACTACTTAATCAAATAAAATATTGAAAAAAGAAAAGAAAATATACTTTTGTTATAACGATGGAATATAAAATCTCGAAATAGTAAAATAAAATTTAAAAAACAACCTTTTTTTTAATATAACCTATAAAAAAAGATAAAATAGGCTATCATTCTAGAGAAAAATATTAAAGTAGATAAAAGTTTTAACAGCTACATTTTGCAAGTAGACTAAAAAAGAACTGTCATTGTAGAAAGCATGTTCAAACTAGAAAAATAAAATTAAATTAAAATTTTAAAAACCTTTTTTTTCCCAGTAGACTGAAAAAGAGAAAATAAAAAAAGAAGGAAACTCCTATAGAAAGAGGGAAAAAAGCAAAAGTAAAATTAAAAAAACTGAAAATCCTGGTATTATAACTTCCGATGATTTTGTTACCAAGGTAATGTGCACATACATGTTAACATTACAATCATAGTTAATACATGCGAAGTAACAGTCATCGGTGCATAAGTACCGATAACCGAATCATCGTACAGAGTCATCGGTATTTATGTAGTAAGCATTCATTTGCATATATTTCTGAAGTGGTCTTACTTTTTTTTAACCTGAATCTTGTGACTAGTGCAGAAAGAAGAAGTACTTCATCCAATCTATATATTCTTATAATGAAACAGCTGTGAATTCGAGATTTTTTTCCTTTTTTAACTGAAATTTGTATCTCAGAAAATGTTTTCTTAGTTCAAGCATGGTTTAAAATATATTCACTACCACGTACATACATATACATTGATAATATCTCACCCATACTCTCTAATAACCACGGTTTTGAAGAGTTGGACCCTTTTGAAATTGTTTCTTTAACACTTTTACCCAAATATAGGTCAAACTTTTTGTATGTGTTTCTAAGAGATTTGTATGTTTTTCTATTTTTTAAACATATGTTGTTTTTTTTTAAAGAAAGGGGAAAAAAACTAAACTTCTGCCCTGCCCCATATCTTGGCCAGGGCGGAGAACTGAATAAAAAAAATTTAAATAAAAAATATTTCGTTTCTTAAATAAAAAAAATATTTTTTTAATTTTTAGGATGAAAGTATAAGCTGTTCATTTGCAGTTCTTTTAATGAACTATTTTTAAAACATAATTTAAACCAGGTACTCCTCGTTCTATCTCACCTTATCTATCCCATATTAAAAACAGGGCCGTTTTAATGGCATATGCAGGGCCTCGAACTACAAAAATTTCACATGAATGAAATTAATTTTTATGATACATATAATTTTTAAAAAAGTTGAGATGGTAACCATTTATAATCCTGGAAACTTAAATAATTTTCAAAACTATGGAAGCCAATCAAATGAATAAAAGGTTTGCTTAAATAAATTATTTTGAACGAACTTTGCGACCTTCTGTTAGAAAATAAACGCAAAAATATGGATTTGTGTTTACAAGGAAAAGTCGTGTGAGCAGTCTCGATATTCTAGAAAATTTTATCAATAAGATAAGAATTTAAGTTTTCATTTAATATTACATTAATGAAATTTTTTTGGATTCTTATGTATTTAATCAGATTGTGAGGTCTTAATTTAATTAAAGATATTAGAATCATCATTCGATATATAGAACCTTACAACTTTCGATATATAGTTGCTAGCTTTTGTCTCGAAATCATTTCAAATAATTGAAAAAGCCAGAAAAACAGTAGTCTCTCTTGGAATAGTTTCGCAATAGATCTATACAAACCTTGAAAGTTGAATGATGGCTTAAACTCTAATCATGAAATTTATAAATAATCATGAACCATAAACTAGAATCCTCCCTATTATTCTCGCCACTAACGCCATCTGCTTCGAGTTTTATCAGGTTAATCAATTATAAAAATCTACAGAGCTGCAAGCATACCACTGCGCCACTAATCAACAAACACAAACAAAAACCTGGCTCTGGCAGAAATCTCGATTTTTTTTTTATATATCGCTATGTTATAAATCTAAAGTAGTTTATAAATTTTATTCATTATGACTGAGAGAATTTTTGATCAGAAAAATGTAATATCTCCTGAACAGGATTGTGAGCAATCACCTATCATAAGAACGAAAGGTCATATTTGTAAACAATGTCAAAAATGGTTCAAAAAATCAAGTGATCTACGTAGACATAGTTATGTGCATTCCAAAGAAAAGCCGGTTCCTTGTGATCATTGCGAAAAGAGATTTAAAACTAAGGAACATTTACGATTACATCTCAAGAATCTCACACTTACGAAATCCTACAATTGTGAGTTATGCAAATTGAGTTTTAAAAAACTTGGACTTCTTAAAAGTCATTTAGCTACCCACACAAAAGAAAAGCCTTTTAAGTGTGAAATGTGTAATAAAATTTTTGGTCGCAAGAATGCACTTTTTTACCACTATGCAAGCCAGACATATTTAAATTACCATAGGCAATTTGAAGATTTTAAACAATATGAATATTTAGTTGAAAAGTATAAACCTGTTGACAACGATTGTCCACAAATATGTGCATTGTGTAATAAGGAATTAAAATCAGCGAAACAACTTGCAAAACATATAAAATATGTTCATGATGAGTCAAATAGACATCATAAATGTGTATCTTGTGATAAAATATTTACAAGAAAAACTGGTTTAAATTTACATATCAAAACATATCATTTTTTTAATGAAAAATCTCATATTTGTAAAATTTGTCAAAAACGATTTATTACAAAAAGTCAGTTAAATAAACATAGTGTTGTGCACAGTTCAGAGAGACCTTATAAATGCACAGTGTGTCCAGCAAAATTTAAAACTAAAACTACTCTTATTGCACATGGAATTATTCACAATAACGAAAAACCTTTTGCCTGTGAAGTGTGTAAGAAAACCTTTGCACGATTTTGTGGTCTGCTGTTTCATGCCAGGTTACATACAGGAGAACGACCATATATATGTGAAATTTGTAATAACACTTTTTCACGATTAGGAACGCTAAAAAAGCATTACAAAGCTCATGATAAAAATAGTTCTGTACTAAAGATAAATCCTAGGGGTAATAAATCTTCACAAACTGCAAATCAGGATGAAGATAATTCTTTACAGATGGTAAATCATGATGGAAATTAATCTTTCAGCAATTTCAAATCCTGATGAAAAATGCAAAGAAAAACCACCCATTGAAAGACAGTTTACTTTCAACAAATGATACACAAAAAAAAGTTGACTGAAAATCTAGTTTGGGGCTGGGTAGCCCTAAAGTTGTTACTAGTCGCAAGTTACTAAGGAAAGTCATACTTGTGAATATGTACCAGAAATTAAACCTTAGAGGATCACTTATATATTTTATTTATTTTAATATTTATCTATCTGTTTTTTTTTAATTATCTTTACTAAAGGTAAATCATAATTAATACTCTTTACAAAAGGTAAATCATAATTAATACAAATCTTTACAAAAGGAAAATCATGATGAAAATAAATATTTATTAAAAACAAATCACTCACAGAAAGCCAGTTTAGTTTTCAAATAATATGAGTTAAAATAATACTGCGGAATTGTTAAAGGAGAATATTTAAAGGGGTCTCACAAAATGATTTGCCTGGAACCTGGCTAAATGTGGCAACAGTTCTGGCTAACACTTCACTCTAAATTGAACTGAAAATCACTGTAAATTTTTATGTGCAGAAAAATCAATTTCAGAAATTATTTAAGAAAAATTAAGTAAAAACTTCTTTTTCAAGAGGTCAGATTAAAATTGTTTCTACAAATATTGTATATGTGTGTAATATGATTGATATGCGGAAGTAAATGTTTTTGCTATATAACCATATACACATTTATACTTATTCAAATTTATCTAAAGTCTTAACAGACTTAAAGCCTTGATGGCTCGGTGATTAAGGCACTGAACTGACATCACGAAGAACTGGGGTTCGATCCCCTGCAGCGGCTTAAAGCCCATTCAGCTTCAGATTGATAGGTAACATCTTTTCAGGAAATAAAGGCGGCCTGTGCGCAGTGCTAACTATACTGCCACAATCATGTTGCTGATATATTTAAATATGTCACCATTTAAAATGTCTTTAAATAATGTGTTTATATGCCAATTATAAAAGTCTTGTTTTATCTTTGTGTTTTTTATTATGTAAGTCACAGCAAGAGTGTAGTAAGGGCCTACAGGTGCACTCCACTGATTTTTTGATAAAATCTCATTTTTTTTCTAAATTTGGCAGTTATTTGCAGGGTTAGAATAATTGCTCCAAAACAAAATTTCTGCTCCCAAATGCCTTTTTTTTTTCTCAAAAAATTGCTTGAAGCTGCTCCAAAACCCTAATGATATTAATTAAGCAAAAAAGCGAGAATTTGGCCCCCTCTTTCAACTGCAGGCATTAAAAATTAGTGTTACTAAATTAGCAAAATTCACTTGTTATAATAAGAACATATTAAATATTGGAATCGAAAATGCCATGTTGAAAGGGTTGACAAAAAATCTAAATGATAGGATTTACTAAAGAATCTGTGCAGAGGGATCACATTAAAAGTTATACCTTAAAATTTTACAAACGTTTGTTGTAATAATATTGTATTTAAAATATCAAAATCAGTAAAATACAATTGGAAGTGACCGGAAAAAAAAAAATTATGAAATCAGGCGTTTCTAAAAGTGATTTTCGAGTAAAGCGTTAGCAAATAGTCGTCACTCAAATCCGAAATTTGGGTGTGCTAATAACATTGTGCTTCGTTTGTAATTAAAAATATCAAAAAAATGAGAATCCACATAAAAATGTGCATAAAATGATGTGGATTTATGATGGAATCATTGCAAATCCAGCAGTTAAAAAAGTGATAACTGAAATTCAAAACCCATGTATTGCAAAAACACTATACTAAAGATATTTTCATTTGAGTGCCCATAGGGATATGAACAAAAAAGGACAAACAGGGCCATGCAATCCACTTTTAGAACTATCTTCATTGATGATTTTAGATATTATTGATGATAGTATGTTTTTATTGGTGGTGGTAAATGAGTATTATTTAAAGTGTGAATTTTATTTAGTTCCAAATATTTATCATATTTCTGATATCTAATTGTTTAAAATGCATATTAATAGAAGTATAATAAAAGCCTGGGGATATAAATTCAAATCAGATTGTATTTCCTCAGGAAACACATTAAGTAAATTTTTTCATTTGTATTATTTATTCAGCTCTTTGTTGTGTTTCTATTACATCTTTTTTTTATTCGATAATGTATTTTTTCCCAAAATCTGTTAAATCTATAATAATAAAATTAAGAGTTTGCCCCTTTTATAATTTCAGAACCATTTGCACCACCAGTCCAAAATTTAGACATCGGCTGCAAAGAGCAAATTTTGCCCCCGGTCCCAAAATTCATTCAAAATTTTCAAATTGTTTCATAAAGCCTTTTCAGAAATGGAATTTTTAAACTGGTTAAGTATTCATCATTTTAAATTAAATGTTAGACGATTGTATATTTTTTTTTCAAATATTTTGAAGTTAACATAAGTGATGTTCGCTGTATTATATATCATATTAACCAAGTCTGCTGGTTCGATCCCCGGCTCAGACACCAGATTTTCGGGATGCAGAAAATCCTCAGCGGCCATGTCGTATGATTATGCGGCATGTAAAAGATCCCTGGAGTGCCTTATTGGCTCTTGGCATTTTCGGCAAAATTAAATTCATAGTGCACTTTAGAATCCAAATGGAGTCTCGGTGCTGCCTTCTAGTGTGGCAGAAACTAGACGTCCAAATTAACATGGTCAATGGTATCTCACCCATTGTGGTGGTCCTGAAAGAGTGGATGCCACTTCTGGAAAACACACCAGGTCTGCTCATTGAGAAGACTGATTGTGCAGCTCATAGGAAATAAAATATATCATATTAAAAGGAGTTTGTTGCATGTACTTTATTATATAATTATTTTTTATTTGTTGTATCAGGTAAACTAAATGATGAGTTTGAACGTGATAGCATAGGGGGACTAGGTTACCATAAAAGTATAATACTGAAAATAAGTGTTTATTTTGTATATAGTTAGTTATGCTTTTAAAATGTGTTTCTACGAAACAAAATTACTTAAAATTAACGGAAATTGAATTTCAAAAAATAAGTTATGTATTAAATAAAGCAAAATTATTAATTCATTAGGCGAAACTATTATCAATTATAAATTGCCAAACTATTATTGATGCCAATGATTAATTTTTTGGTAATTGGAAATATGGTTGTAGTACTTTATTTATGTTGCACAATGCTCTATTGGTGACGGTATGGGGTACACGTATAAGCAAACCATACTGCGTATTGGTAACTTGGCGATTGCTGTTGCAATTGGCGATGATAACACGTAAATGTGGTGGGAGAGCAAAATTGCATTAACCTAAACCGCAATTTGATATTCTATTTCTCCTCCTCGACTAGCCATGATGAATAAAATATATAAATAAATTAATAAACGCTTCTGCAGGTGTTTTTCGTTAAAATTTCAATTTTTCAAAACAAGTTATTCATCTTATCTCTTTTAGAAATTAATTGGAATTGTAGTTTTTTTAAAGTAATATATATATGAAAGAAAACTTTTTTCATGCAATTTGCATTAATGTAAGCTCATGTTGTTCATCTGGAAATTAAATTGTTAGTGTGTGATGAAAAATTGTTGTAAAAATAACTCATTAATTCCTTTTCCTAGGGAATTAAAAAAGAAAAAAACCTTTTTATTGTGAGGATCACTTTACAAATACACTGTATTTATATTTTATTAAACACAATAATTTATATTTTATAAAACGATCTTGTTTTATGATATAACAGATTTAATTTTTTTTTACAGGAATTGTGTTTGCGAGGAAATAAAAATATTTTATTAATGAACCAATCACAAAAAATGATGTAACATTTTAACACCATGTTTCTTTGGAATGCTATTTTGAAGAATTAATTCTATTTAATTTTTATTGTTAGTAAACATAACCTGTTTAATTTTAGTGATATTCTCTATTAGAGCAATCTTGATAAAAGAATAATGTAAACTTTTTTGTGAAGATTTTTTTTTTTTTTTAGAAATTGACAAAGACATATTATTTACTAAAAAACAATCATGCTTTAAAGTAATAATTTCTTGTAAATGAAATAATCGATATTTTTAAAGTAATCGGAAATTCACTAGTGAAAAAAGAAATATGTGCAATAATTTCAAGAGGGAAAAAATGTACAAATGAAGGGATTTTTCTTTAATGATCTATGTCACTAGTTTTAAACTCTAAATGATATTTATTCATCTTACCTAAATTTTATCTGAATCTATCAAAATATCTGATTTCATATAAATGATATCTAATTGTATCTGATTTCATGAGAATTGATTAAAAGTAAATTAAGAAAACAATTGTAAGTTTTGACTGTGTTTTTATTTTGTCAGTTCAGACTGAAAACCTGGAGTTTACCTGAGTCTTAAAACAAGTTTCAGTAAAACTGTATAAAAAATTAAATTTGAAAGCGTTTGTTTCATTACTAGAAGCATTTATTGTAAAAAAATATTTATTAAATTGCTTTTTTTGCAATGAGATGAGATCTTAAACTTCGTGAAAAATTAATTCAGTTCCTTAATATATAAAAAAGTGCGTAAATACTTCATTTATTATGGAGGTCATAGATACCTTGATACTCTTTCAACATTAGAATAATAAATGCAATTAATAGATAATGCGCAATTTTAAAAATATATTTTATTTACATATATTGCATACAGGTTAGCATAAATGGAAGTAAATTGCTGTTCTAAGTTTCATACCTTACTTCTCAGTTTATGTTTAGAATTTTTTCTGTTATTGATGTGAAGTAATTAGTATTGTATTGTGATTTTATTCACTTTTATATCATAGTATTTACAAAATGCATTTTTTTATTAAAAAAACAATTTTAGCAGAAAATAGGCTGAGTTCATTTGCAATATTTTCATTGTATTTCATTTTATTTAATCATCTGCATCATCTTAATAAGCAAATCGCAGACCTCTTGATAGGCTAAAGAAAAAACCAGAACAATTTTTGATATTGCAAACAAGTACCAGACTACTTTAAAAAAAATGTAAACAAAAAAAAATCACAATTTTCTCTACTGCAAAAAAACTACTGAAACTGGACTACAGAATTTTCAATTTCAAATTTACTTTATTCTGAAAAGAGAAGGAGTTTTAACTTTTTTTCCTGTAGAATTCTATTGAAAAATCCCTGAACGATTTATAACAATTTGATATCAATATTTAGAAAAATTTAATGGTACTGTTCATTACAAAAATAATCAGTATCAATTTGTTGATATTTCTAAATATCATTATTTATTTAGAATTTGCAATCAAGTTCATGACTTCTTTAATCAAGTACTTTTGGGATTTCAATAATTTCGAAATGAAAACACAGTGAATATACGTCTTAGCATTTGTGTTCAAAACAAATTTTCTGGACGAACGGAAAAGAATTTTCTTGAAATAAAAAGATCGAAATTCTAATTCTTTGGTTTATTTACTCCGATTATTTTAAGAACTGCGTTAGAATACCTAGAAAATGATATGTTCTGGATATACAAATCAGAAACATCAAGAAAAAAATACTAAAATTAAAGAACAGATAATGGCAAAATATTTTTTGTAAGGAAAATTAGAAGTTTCAGGACTACTACTACTCTGATATCATTCAACCTAAAGCTCTATTATATTAAAATAAATGGGGAAAAAAGTAGTTTACTCATAATTCATTATTAAACCATTAGCACTGAAATTTACTTTTACTATTTTATATGCAACCTACGTCATTTTTGTAAATTTTCATTATTTTCAAGTATTTTTTTTTTTTTTTTAAATCATTATTGAGATAAACTATCATATATTGCCTCAAATATTTTTTAATCATATGGATTTTTAAAAAAAATAAGATAAAAATATTTCATATAACTTAATACATACTAATATTATTAATTGTAATCAGCTAAATTATGATATTAAATATATAATTCTAACGTACTGCATTTTTACATCATAGGTAATCAAAGAGAGGAATCACTTCTTAACTATTATTACTAAATCTATATTTATAAAGTTCTTATTTACACGTTAAATGAAGTTGTAAGGTTCTTAAGTTTTAAATTAAGTACGCATATTTAAAATATTCAGTTCTTTTTTTTATTATCAAGTTAGCATATTAAAGAAGACGCCAAACTCTCTTCCTCCTTAATTACTAATTTAAAAGAAAGAAAAAGTAAGTTCAGGCAAACCTAGTGTAACCATGAAGTTACAATTGTTGAAAAAAATACTTCAAAATATTTAAATGCATACAAATTATTAGAAGAGAACTTCTCTGTTGCGTAATCCTACGTTATCATCTCATAATTTATTTTCATTTGTATATTTTAAAATGTTCTTTTCAGTATTTGAAACTCAGTGACTTACTCTAGGTTTGTTTGAACTCACTTTTTCTACACTTTAAATTTTAATTTAGTAATGAAGAAAGAAAATTTTCTTCCACGGTCTGGCGTCCTCTAATGGAACAAAAGTGGATATTTTGGAATTAAACGTTAAATGGAATAGTTAATTACTATGATATGTTTTTGAATGGTTTAGTTAATTTGAATTAAGAAACAAAATCTTTTTTTTTTTTTTTTTAACGGGATTTTTGGATTATGACAGAAAAAAAAAGTATTTCTATAAAAAAGTTATAAGCAAGAGAAATACCAATTTTCAAATGAAGATTATTATTTAAATGACTGAAAAGTAAAACGTTACTAAAATCAATTGAAGTTAATCACAGTGAAAATTGAAATAAAAACACCAAATGCATGATTTTGTACAGTACGCAAAATAAAAAAAACAAATATCACCCTGAATAACTTTCGTTCTAATGATCTGGTTTCAATCTTAGTGCTTCAAGGGGGTGATCACAAATATGCTAAATTGATAAGTACTAACTATTAATTAAATTACGACAGACGCAAAAACCTACTTCCTCAGAATAAACATATAATTTTTTTTAAAATACCCGGATTCCCTACCCTTTTAAATATAGGGGATCGAAAAAGTTGGGCTATAAATTCGGGTGCTAGGAAGTTATATATATTAGATGTTATCCCTCCCCCATATAGCCAAATAATATCGCCGTAACTGGAAGAGAAATATAACTTAACAAATTATATGAGAACGAACTATGTGATCGACAAGAGAGAAACATCTACTGTTTCTCCACGTCTAAGCAACCTATAATAAAAAATAATGAATTAAGAATTGAATCGTTTTCAGTTATCTCGAAAAAACTTATCTTTTATAGTTAATATAAAAATGTTTCCATAGGCAACAGACCGTTTTTTTTTTTGTTGTTGCTGTTGGGGCTGATTTTTGACGGGAATAAAGCAAAGATTGTTTTCTTTTTATTACCTTTGAAAATAGAATTTGAATGGAATAACAAATTATTCATGATTTTCCAAGATGTTAGAATTTGAACATACAGCTGTGAACTTATCAAAAAGAGAAAGATAGAAATCTTGATGTATGCTTTTGCCGAAAATGAATTTCAAAAGGAAAATAAATAACTTGAGAGCATTGAGAATAATCAGAGAAATATAATTCTTCATTTTTGATGTTATTTGTTGTTTTTTGAATTGAAATAATCGATGAAAAATACTTATTTAGTTTTTTAATAATTGTCATTCATTTTATAATATATTGTTATTGAAAAAAAATTAATTTCAGGTAAATAATTTCATATTGACTGCCGAAATTAAACGAATTACGGATTGTTAATTGGCCATTGGTTATAAGTATTGGCGATCGAGATGGGCTGCAGGTGGCGTAGAGCAGAACTCTTTTCCTATGGCAACACTTCACTGCTTTCCCCATTAGCGTGTGGAAAGTCATAGAGGAAGGAAGTACGTTAGTTTCTTTCTTGATTTTCATATAGATTTAAAATCTTTTAACTTGAAAAACTATATGGAACTGAAAACTACATTAAACATAGTTCTAAAGAAAAGTATCACGGAAATTTTAGAAAATATTTTTATTAAGTAGAAAGGGAAAATTAATTAGTACATTCCTATATAACTGGTCCCGCAGTGGACTGATCGTTAAGACACGGTTCCCAGCAGATCACCGAAGTCAAGCATCACTGGCTGCGGTCAGTGTGCGGGTGGGTGACCACTTGGATCAGTCTGCGTAGGGACCGAGGGTGTGCGGTATTGGTCCTCGTTAAACTGTTCTACCGTAAAGTTCTCGACTTCGCGAGCAGGCCGTCGGGCTACCGAAGCGGGAGTGCCATCCCCTCCGCAGAGGATCAAAATTGTGATGGCATGTCTTCGGATCATCCTCAGGGATGTTTCCCAGACCGTCGCCAATAGCCCATTGTGCAGCTCTAGTGCTCCG